AAGACATTCCAAGATTCCATAGGAGAATATAAATGCTGAACCTAGACTAGCTCCGAGTCAAAGCATAAATGGAATAAGAACAGAAGAAAATGCTATGATATTAATATAAAAATTGAAGAAATAAAATTAAGAACTTGAAGAGTGGAGGAAGTATAAAGATCAATACAGGTTTTTAAACTGTATTTCAAGTAAAAGTCTCATATACCGAAAACTAACACGGTGATCCACAAATCACTGCCGATAGTAAAAATAGCGATGTTAGAAAAGAAATCTTCTTCTACTAAGACTAGCTGTCCATATGGATATAGTTTTCGAAATTGACACACATTCAATGCATTGCTAGTTGGTGATAACACAGGGATAAAATATTCACATTTTAATGCCTAATTCAATTCGTCTAGAGACTATTGGCCGAGTGCGTTTCCGAATGCATAGTTAAGCATAGACCTTAATTGGAGATTTTTTAAATTTTCAAAAATAGCTTTTTGTATGTAACAAGTTAGACCTGATAAGCCATCGTTAACAAATTCAAATTAGAATCACTTTATAGACCAGTAGCAGTAGAATTATATTGGGAAACTAGCATTGTTTCAACGGAAAGTCTCTTAAGCGCTTTTTTAGCATTAGGCAGCAATACTAAATTGAAAAAAACACTGTTTTTGTCGCACGAACTTTATTAGTGTTAGTGTACCTTCATTAACAATATATAATACTTTTGTTTTAATCACGTCCAGTTTTTGTTTTTTTGACAGCTACATATTCATTTCTGACCTCATAATCATATCTCCTTTAAATAACTTCATTTATACCACTGTATAACTATTGCATTCGATTTCACGTCATTAATCCATGTTATTTAGACTATTTTCAATTTCCTGTGAGGAATCAAGATAAGGTGGGGCTTAACAAGTACCCAGGCATATGCCATTTGCTATACCCATGATTTAGACGGAACCAAAGGATGATGTAAGTGATTATTAGTCAAAAAGGCAAAAATTAAAGATGGAATATTTTTAGGTCCAGAAATACGGCAACTAATAAAGGTAAAGAGCTTGGAAGAAAAACTGAATGCTCAGAAAAACTCGCCTGGAAAAGTTTTGTGAACTTGTGATGTCGTATGGGGTGTAATATTTCCTCAAAACTACATATGTTGAACTCTTATCTGTATTTCAATCAGAACATTTCCTTAATGAAGAAGCGCTTTCAAGGGAAATGGAGCGCAGGAATACTAGAATATTATTGTTGGAGACTTAAAAAATACCTTCCAGATAAGCAATATAATGATGGTTGTACTTTTTAAAAAAATATATGTTTTGATGTGTCAAAAAAACCTGACGTCTCAATTTTTTTCATTCACATATTATTGTTTAGTGGTCCTTGTACATTTAAATTTTTATATGAGTTTTTATGTGACAAAAAAAGTTAAAATATTGTTAACCAGTGTAATATTATACAGATATATATTTTTTCTAGGCTGGAAATGACAATGATTTGAAAGTTCTCAATATAATAACATAAGATTCCTAATTGTTTCCAATTAAAAGAGAAACTACCATAACCTTCACCCTTGTATATATACGAGTATAAAGAAAGTGTAAAGAGTTATCCCTAATATGATGACAATACTTGTAATACAACTTTTTCGGAAGTTTGGACAAACTTTTATTTGTATAGTAATATATTGTATTTTTTGATAAACTAGCATTGTTTGATTCGTATATAACTTTAGGGCTTACAGTGATTGTAAAAAACCCGAACTAACTTGTGGATACCACACATTCATCACACCCATTTTTGGCGATTGCTACAAGAACCAGCACTTACAATACCAGTAAAGTACATTTTACTGAAACGACTGAAAATATTTTTTGTTCGGCAAAAAAAAATTTTACACAATATGCATTTTTAATGTGACCTGTCAAACAATCTCGCAATAAACACCTACCATAAATAGCACAAACTACAAAACAAATTTCCATAAACTAAAAAAAATCACCTGCGGCAAACACACTTTATGAGCTTTAGACTAAATAATATTTAGGTATAACACCAAACAACTAACCACAAATAAAATAAAACAAAAATTTGTTCAAAAATATGTTAAAATTCTCGAAACAATGCTGGTCAAAAACGAGGCACAAGGTACTATGCAGCCGTGGGTGATGGCAAAATAATGTGTCAGACCAAGCAAATGAATGAGGCAAAAAATATTATATTAAAATAAATCTTGACGTTTATGTAAAATTTTTGTCAAAAATGCAAATTCATAAGAAAAAAACTGAAACAACGGACCGCTAATAAAGCGAAAAAAACAATATTTCCTCCAAAGGAGTAAAATTGCTCTCAAATATGTGCAAAAACTGCATGCCAAGTCAAAACCTATGCCCACTCAACAGCGGCAATCAATGCACATACACTATATATGTATACATACATATTTATATATGTGTACAAGAATGCATAAATGGAGAGTCCAATTTGAAATATAGTATTTACGGTTTATGCTCGACACAATTGCAAATATTTGGACAGCACTGGGGGTGCAATAACGACAGTCGAAACTATGACGCTAAACGATGTCGCTTTTGGCGTTGATATATGACTATTTTAACTAGCAAAATTGGCGAACAAAAAAAAATTTATGGTAGAAGTTAGTGAGCGCTAGAGTCGGAGTCTGTCCTCGCTGGAATGTTAATAATTATGCAATCGCTTTCATTTGCATTCGCTGCAATTACAGTCTTTATATAAATTTCTGTACAAATTGGTGGTACAAAAATGACAAATTCATTGTTTTTTTTTTTGAAGTTTGCTGCTTGAGTTGTAAGATGTATGAAGTATAGCAAAATATAAGGTCTAGTAGAAAGAAATGTAATGTTTTTCCAGTAGAAGGCTTTGGTTATTTGTATGTTGCGTTGAATAAATGCTATATAGAGTTAAAAAGACAAGATTTTGTTCTAAAAAAAGTCTGAGACAGTTTTTTGATTGCTGGTAATTGTCGAAAATTTGATAATAAAATAATAAAAATCGTCGAGTCCGGCCGTCATGTATGTATGTAAGGACTGTTTCGATTGCCCAGAAGCTAAACATTGCACGAAAACCTTTTGGAACCATTTAAATAAGGCGGGATACCAATTAACGCAAAAAACACTGCACGGACCGAATTTTCATATGCGAATCGGAACAAAGAAATCCATTTCTGAAGCGGATAGTTGATGAAAAGTAGGACAACGTCAAGCCAAAAAGATCGTGGTCGAATTGTGGTGATCCATTTTAAACGGTCGCCAAACCAAGATTAACTGTCAGGAAGGAGGAGCTTCAAGAAAAGCTTGTGAAAATCAACTGTCCTAGCTTTTTTACCAATAGGGACAAAGGTTTCTATGAGAGTAGCATTATCAAAACATCTTCGCAATGGCAACAGCATCGAATAAAACAAAGCAAATTTTACCTATATCGGATCATTTTAACTATGCTAATTGAAACCTTTAATTTCATGCAAGAATTATGAATTTATTTTTACTAGACCTTATTAATTGTATCTGTTCTAGTAGCTTATTTATAGGTAAACAAAACAAATATAAATATCGAAAAGCTGCCATATAGCCGTATTGTCTAGTAATAAAAAAAAACAAAGTCATAACAGATTTTTTTAGTATTATTCTGATCAGTTCTACTAGCGTTTAAAAAGGGAAATCAAGATCCATAAATAGGCACGGTAAGAGTATTAACAATTTAGCTTAAACACAATATACATAACTGTATGAATATATCTTCAACATCATCTAGGACATCTAGGTGAGCTATAAACCAGCATAGGTATAGACTGAAGTATGTGTGCACAAACTTATTAGACATACATATTTAGATCACCATTGAACGGAAAGTCGTGAGGAAGTGGAATCAGCAACGGCAATATCGTCAAAAATTTTAAAGACAATGTAGACTGGATCTACATATTTCATCCGCAGCAGCCAAGGATTTTAAATTTCGAAATATTTTGTATACTCTTGGACGAAAAAAGTATTCAGTATTTAAAGAACAATTTCTGTGAATATTTCTTCAACTTTTGGTGGCTTCAACTCAACAAGCTGTTGTTGTACTCCAAAAAATATTCCACAACATCTATAGTCAATAATAGTTTGGTCTGGCGCGAACCAAATACCATACGCTTAATACTCAAGCATTGAATTCTTAAAATTGCATGTTTAGTTTATTGATAATAAAATGAACGTATTGTTAAACATTCACTAATTCAATTTAGCACTCCACTTCATACTTTTAAATATTCATACATAAAAGGATCTTGTAAATCATTGACCCAACAATGGCTATCGCACAAAATCGAAACAAAAACACAACAACAGCTGTATTTTGGGCAACAAAACCAGTTAAATGTACATTTTTTTCTAAATACCTATGTAAATGGCAGCTGGCAAATTAAATTGGAATTGAGAGCTGATGCTTATCGGAACATGCAAGTCAATTTAGATTTCATTCTCAAATCGAAAGTTTGCATTTATGCACTTTTGGGGGGCAATAGTGCTAATCAAGAATGCCGATAAGAACAGTTACATGGTAAATCGCTCTGATTTAAATATGATATACATTAGAGCGGGTCGATTCATATTCTAAAAAATTGCGTATGCGAAAATTGTTCGATGGATCATGGTGAACAACTTTGCCGAAGAGAATATGAATCTAAAACCGGTTGCGAGTCAACGATTGTTTAGGAGAAGTTTAATTTTTCGGGATTGTACAAATAGCTTCGTCAATTTTTGAGATATCCGAACGAAGTTTATTACATAGGTGCATTTTGATATTTTATTGATCATTGTCGGAATCGGCCAGATCGGACAACTATATCACATATCTCCCTGGTTTTAGACCCATATTCTTTTAGAAGAAGTTTTTCAGAATGATCCGTAGAACATTTTACGCATGCGCGAGTTTTCCGTGTTTTGGCTGCCTGTAAATCAATTTAAAAAAAATTTGTTTGAACTTACATGACTTAATTACGCCCAAAATCGCTATGCAGCAAACAACCAACGAATTGTCTAAAAAGAAAAATTACAACAATTTTACAAATTAAATTATTTAAATTTTTAATACATATATGTAATATGTCTGTATTTTTCATTTATATATGTATATATGCTGCACTAATAACTAAAAGAGCCCGTATCTAATGTATTGTCTGCACTTACGATTATCACACCGCAGCTAATATAATTGTGTAGTAGAGCATATGTTAAGTATAACAAAAACCAGCTGATTCCGAACAGACTTCGAAACGAAATGGCAGAAAAGAAAAAGCGAGAAATTATGTCAAGGTTGTATGCACTAAAAAAAATTTTAAAGGCAAATTAAAATCTCAAATGTCACACAAAACCAAACCGAAACGCACGGTTGAATTAAACACATAAGAAAAGCCGAAAATTTAACGGTTTGACGTGTAAACAAAAGGGACAGAGACCGCAGCTGTCTAATGGACAATGGTCACAAGTCGCTGCGTGCGTTCGCGATTCAGATCAAAAGTCATTTTCGCGCACTTTATTCGTATAAACGCAAAGTCTTTAAGAAAAAAATAAACAAATAAAGTTAAATAAAACATAAAAAAGTACAAAAAACAAAAAATAAATAAATAAACGAAATACCTCACGAAGAAGAAAAAAGGTTTAAGTACACTAATAGCTAGTAAAAGTGCAATGATTAAGTAAATTAAGTAATAAAGCTGCAAACGCTCATAATCACAATGACACACATAAATTATGCCTCTTCGACTCACACAACGAATGTGAACAAACACTTGATTTAAAGTGTGTAAATATGCTCGGAAAGCACTTATTAAATATTATGTCTTGTTTATGCTTTAATACAGTTGTAATAGTATGTTAATTAAATATATGTGTGTTTGTATGTAAGAGGAGTGTCATTTAGAGTTACTTACTTGTATATACATAAACAAACACAATGTTCGAAATTAAGGAAAACTCTGATGATTAGGCTAATTTAAAGATAAAAATAACTTTGTCTGAACATTTATTAATATGAGAAATATTATCGATTAATTAACTAAGAAACCATTTTTGAGATAGCTGTAAAAGTACCTTTGGAATACCCTCAGGTGTTGGCAACACTTAATTTTAAGAAATGTAGCGAAAAGGTTGAACTTTAGTTTGGTACAATATTAACTTATTTTGAAGGTCACAATTCCCATAGTTTTATTACTATGTTTTACTTCCCGTCAGCGAACATTATACTAAAATCATTGGGGGCATAGAAATGGAAGCGCTGATTGCATGAATTTTTGAAATTACTCAGATATACTTGAGAACTTGTTTTCAAGCAATTTTATAAATATAAACATTTATATGGAGTAAAGTCAGCCGAACGTTTCAAAATCATGAATGTCAGCTGTACCAATTTTATCCAATTATGCACAAAGATGCACTGTTATTAGACAAACACGCTCACTCAATTTAATTACGATAACTCACATATTGGCCGATATATAATATGAGATATAAAGTCAACCGGAAGTTCGAAAATATTTTATTAGGTATATGGGAGCTAAAGAAAGTATTGATCTGATTCAACTCAACTTTGACACAAGGGTATATTATTATCAAAAAAAAATATTTTCTCCGCATTTCCAATTATATATCTCACAGGTTGACCGATATTTTTAGCAAAAAGTCAGCTATAGGCTCCAGGGTCCACATTTCCGGTATCTGGGGGGTTGAATATGTATATTTTTATACTGGAAAGTAAAAAAATCAAATGGAATTTAAAGTTGTGTTATATGGGAAGTAGGCGTTGTCACTGGCTGAATTCATTGATTTCCGTACTGTTACATGGGAATATCAAAATAGTCTTATGCACCAAATTTGGTTGAAATTGGTGAAGTAGGTTCGGAGATATGTGATTTTACACAAATGTGCGCGGTGCCACGCCCATTGTCCAATTTCGACACCTGCTCCTATTAAGCACTTTTGTCTCATCTTGGATGTAAAATTTAATGTCGGTGCATTTCGTAGTAATTTTTAACAAAACCGTTTAATGGGGAATGGATGTGGTTATCATGAACTGGTAAGGTAAAGTAATTGAAAAGTGGTTGTATCTGAAACAGTTTAAAAATGTTAAAAAGAGCAATGTGGAATCGGCCACATTTAGCTGAAGTATCATATCACAAAAACTCTTCGATGAATTGGAACCAAATTTACTACTAATGCCTTCTGAATGCAGCACCTCTTTTTTTAAAAGGTCGAAATCGGACTATAACTTTTAAAGATCCCAGATATAGAATATGGGGACCTCAGAATATAAACAAAATGTAGTAAGGAAACTAAGAGAGCATATGACCAACAATAACTCAGTTGAAAATATATTTTCCCGATTTTGATTCAATGTTAACAGTATAAAATTTTAAATAAATCGTCTTTCTTAAGGATGTTACACAAAATATGGCCTTGAAGAATTACTTTAAGTAAAAGCCATTATTTTTTTCGTTATTTTCGTAGTTTATCACAAGGGCATACATATGTACCTATATTAGGATGGAGCGAAAAACAATTTTTTTTTGTTTACTTAGCCTTAGGGTAAAATTTGTAGATTATAAAATAAGAAAATTTTTGAAAACAAAAACATTTTTTTAACAACTCACTTTTAAAGTAAACTTCGAGTTAAAATTTTGATTTCGTAAAACATTTTTGATAAGTGTTCTAGAAGCTGTGGAGAGTCCTCTTTCTGGAGTTTTAAAAAAAGTCTTAAACGAGAACATGCTTTCCTTAAGCGTTAAAATAAATTTTGAGTCAAAAATCATCAAATTCGGTCATTTTTATATATATATGAAGAGTTTAAACCAAAAAAAAAAATTTACTTTAAAAGTGAGCAAAAGATGTTTAAAAAAATTTGTTTTTCTCCAAACATTTTCTTTTTTTATAATCTACAAATTTTACCCTCAGGCTAAGCAAAAAAATAAAATAAAAAATTTTTGTTCTACCCTAATGTATATGCTAACTACTGGCGCTTGCGTTAAATTAATTTTGTACAAGTTTATTTGTATGTTTGCCAGTCCCTTTTTATACTCTAAACAGGAAATATTAAGTTTTCCACGAAGTTTCCTTGGAGAGCATATAAAGTATATAGAGGGTGGATTTGGATGACCATTGCACAATGTCGGCCGTTCCGACAAATGAGCAGCTTCTTAGTGAGGAAAGGACAGGTGCAAAATTTCAGATCGGTAACTTAAAAACTGAGGGACTAGTCGTTTATATACAGACAGACAGACGTACGGACGAACAGGATGGCAAACTTAATATACCCTGTTCAGGGTATAAAGATCAATGAAATGTAACGTGACTATAACCATGTGTTTACCTACATACATACATAAGTGTAATAAATGAGAGTAATTTAACAAAAATGTTTTTGTGTTTTACAGATATATATATATACATATAACAATTTTTCATCTCGTAAGGTCGAGACAACTGAAAGCAACCCAAATTGGAAGTGTTTTACTAAAAATAGGCGCAGCAAAGTAAGTCAAATATTATCTAGCAACATTTTGGCCTGTAAGATAGTATACGAATATAAAATTAAGATTTTATCGCTGTGATCAGTTTTTCCTTTTTATTTTTTGTTTTAATTTTATAAAAAAAAAAAACGTACGAACAAAAGAATTGCGCAAGAAACATACAAACCCAACCAAAAAATTTATATACAAACAATCGCAACTACAAATAAATGCAATAAAAAGAAAAACAACAGCAGCAGCAAACAAAAGTTAATCGAAAATATCACCGATCACACTGAATATTTATCCCAACCGGACAATGTGAAACCGTCGTAGGAAAATGGAAATAAATAAATTCAAGCAAAGCTAATTTTATCTAAGATATTTTTTAAAACAGAAAAAAGCAACGCGGACAGTCTTAACGAAGCAAAGTTGAAGGCGCAATCGCCAAAGAAGGCTGGCGAATTAATGTAGAGCAGTTCAGAGGGTCACGCAAGGCGTTGTTGCCCATGCTGTGGTCGGTATGTGGTGATGGTGGCGCTCAAGGCAGTGACGGCGTGGACCAGTGCGCAAATGAGTAAAGTGTTCTACGAGCAAAAGTACAATACATAAAGAGCGCTATTGAAAAGTGCGCGCCCCGACGTTATTTAGTTGTAATTCTCGAGGCATTTGCCACTCAGTCGGTCTAGTTATTTGCCGACTTGCTTGACTACAAGTAAATTGGGTTTAGTATTGCATTGCCCAATTTGCGATATGAAAATATACTTTCAAATAAATTTTTACTTTTTAAATGTTTCCATTTCTGTTTCTGGTTAAATGTGAAAATAGCAGCAAAAGTATATTATATCTTTAAGAAACAAAAAAAATATAATAATATTATTATTGTATATTAAACCAATATAGGTGGTAACAAAGTTAATAGAGAAATTGGGCAGTTTATGTGATACCTCTATATCGCACTGGAAGTATTATATATCTCCCACGGCATTCGACGGATTGAAAGAAGATTTGGTAGAAATGGAAATACTAGCAAATTGAACAACTGTCACACCTACGTGCGGCCCTTTTATGTATGACGACTATAGCGAGTATAGTAGTCAGTACTTAAGCGATACCAAAATTTAATTATGCTAGCAACCGCTACTGATCATAGGTAACAGAGGAGCATCGAGATTTGTTACATTATACATTGCAACCATTCCTATGTATACAGAACTGTGAAATTCAGGCAACTGCTCATGACTAGTTGCCTACAGTATGTTTCAAATTTGGCACATGAACACATTAAATGAAAATAAAAATTTATATAAATACTTGATTTTTACATTTATATTTATCAACTTTAATATAATCAATTTCTAAAATTAATCTCCAAAACATTTTTATAAAATAGTATTTACTTTGTTACATAATTATTTTGTTGTAAACCATGTTTTCACTACCTCAATAGACATTGCAAATATTGTAATATTAATATGATTAAACTAAGTATGGAAGATTCGCATTACACAAGTTTTCGATGACTATTTTTGATGA